TGTGCTCCCTTCACAGCCGCCGCCGCCGCCGCCGCCACTTCTGCGCTCCGTCAACTCGAAATGCTCGGCTCTACAATTAGAGTCGCCCCTTCAATCTTCTTCGGTAGAGAAGCGGCCTCTAAATGTTCTCCTGCCTGAGAAACAAATGCATGTTCGGAAAGCTGTTTGGGGAGTATTGGGTCGCGCCCTAACGCTGTCCCACCTGCCGCTTCATGGCTTAAAAATGTGGAAGGGCCGCAGCATCAGGTGGGGTTGCAAGGCAGGACACGATTCGCGCGGACCTCTGAGCCGAGGCGTCCTTACTCTGAAGTAGTCTGATTTTACTGTGGGAGAAGTGCGGAGGACAGGCGCAGGCTGCCATCCTGTGGATCTCCCTGCCTGCAACCGAGCCTCAGCGAGCTCAGTGGGGCTTACCTCTGAGTAGGATCGCACCACTAATCCGTTTTCACGCCTGCCATGCTCATTGGCGGGGGGAGGGGAGAGTAAGATTCGGTCCCTCAGTGGAGCATAGATAGGATCAGGGATCCCTAAATGCGCCGCGAAGCTTCTCTCCCGCGCCTGCCTTGTTTGGGCTCCGTGTGGCTGCCTTAAGCCGCGGAGGGCGGCTGGGCTTATTTCTGTGCGCGTTACAGGCCGAGTCCCGTCGCAAAAAAGGCGGTTGGCCTTTTTAGACTTGGCGGTCGGCGCACCCTCGGCACGGAGGTCAGCAGGGCATCTTTGCATGAGGATGGGCACAGGAATGGATCCTTTTCCTTGGCCGCAGTTCCCCAGCGGAGGGAGGGGAGGTGCTCGCCCGCGCTCTCTCCGCTGCCAAGGCTGCTCCTCTCGCCCGCTGCCCGGCCTTGTGTGCGGGAGTCTTGGCGGGGGCCAAGAGCTGGCTGCGGAGGCCGCGTACCGCTGTGGGAAGAAGGCGGCGGCGGCGGCGGCGGCGGGCGAGCAAGCGGCGCTTGGGCGCTCGGCCGCACTCTCTGTCGCCGGCCTCCCGGGCGCTCCTTGCCAGCGCTGTCGCCCACTTCTGCGCCGGTTTCCTTCGGCGTCGCCCTTTTCGGTGCCCGGGACGAGCGGGGGGGGAGTTAATGAGCACCGGGAGGCGTGTCCCCCACGCCGGGCTGGAATCGGGCTTATCGTTGCCATCCCTGGCCGCTTCGGCCTCTCTGCCCGTGTGAACGCCTGACCCGGACCCGGGCCACGCGAATGCGGGATATGGCGCGCCATGGATACCTCCCCATTCATTCTGAAGCCTCTGAGGTCGTGGGCAGGGATGTGCAAAAGTTGTTCGAAGGGGGGTTTTTGTACTGCGCATGAACATTCTGGGCAAGGCATTTCCCTTCGTTTTCTCCCGACAAAACCCCGCTTGTGGGAGAATTGCTATAAGCCTCCTGTGTGACAAGTACCACTCTTTCTAACAAATTTAACACACGTCGATTAATCTCATTTGCATACGTTTACACACAAGTGGAAACATTACATCTGTAGCCTCCCCTTGTTTTTCCCCTTGTTTTGGAGGATGCTGTGTGGTAGCTAGTGGGTACTTTTCTTTAAAGTTTTGAAAGTCCAAGATCAAAGCAACAACAACGACAGTCAAATACATATAAATATTGACGACTGAATATGTACAAAATGGTGGTAAGCTTTTGAGGTCTCCTGATCTCTCCAAGACTTGTCTACCCTGTGCATGGAGGAATGGAGTAAGCCCTTTTAAAATATGGTGCCCATTTTGTATCCTTTTAAAACTAAAAACTTTCATTAAACACAAGAGATAAAAACTGACCAAGCCAGGGAATCTTTTAGACAATAGTTTTAAAAATCAATTACTCAAACCAAATGAATATTGGAACCTAATTAAAAAAAAAACAGGATGAGGCCCTTGTAAGCTATCAGTCGACTGCTTTCCTGCTATACTTTCCTCCTTGGCTGTCAGAGGAGGAAGGGGTGTGTGTGTGTAGAGGGGGCTGGCTCTATGATTTAAGCATAAAACCTATTTGAATCCCCTTTGCCTTTTGCCATGCACAAACAAATGCAGGGTGTGCTTGATTGGGTGTGCTCTGGAAATGGTCTATTATAATGCAAATGCAAAACCTGCCTCAATTATAATACTGACAGTTTCTCTGCTACAGTGTATCCTGTGTTAACAACACAAGACACGCAGGTGAATGAATATCTTTAGAGTATGTGCCAAAATGGGAACTTTATTCAAAGGATGCACATATCTGTCTGGTGTACAGTCAACCTGTGGAACCCATTGTGGGGGAAACACACTTTGAGGACTGTTGGATTATTGGATCCCCAAGGAAAGATTAGCCAGATCAAAAGAGCAGATGACCGTGAATGGCCATCAGCCAAGACAGTTCTGGAGTGCTCTTTACTTCTCAATGTAAACATAGCAGTTGGGGGATGAACAGTAGAGAACAGACAATCCTGTCATTGTTTTGTTTCTTGTTTCTTGCCAGAAGTACTTGATTTTGTCAGGCTCATCCGGATGGAACATTTGTTCTCCTATTTATACCCAATTATGTACGGATGATATTGCTAGGTTTTCCACCATCCGGATGACACAAGACTTAAATCAGTATAATAGTGATAAAGACGGATAAAAACCATATTTTTAAAATCACCTCCTATAGTTTTGTTTATTTTATTTGTTTGTTTCATTTTGTACTGGGGTTGGGTTCAGGTTACTAGAGTTTCTTGGACTGGAAGCTTTCAGTTTAGTACTAATTTACTAAAGCAACAACAATGACAAAAAAAGTTCTAGCAGATAATATATTATTTAAAGGATTTCCTCAACACTTTTTAAAAGAATAGTGTGAAAGATGGCAGATTTCTGAAATGGATTGACCATCACGTGCGCCTCTGCTGCAGAGAGATCTAATTGGAAATTTTAGCACTAATCTATGGAATGAACCAACTGATAAACAAAATCTGGTACAGATTACAATATTTTAAAGAATTTCCTCACCAATTTTGAAAGAGGTGTTTTGGAGAAGAGCATTTTCTACTAGCAGTGGCCTTTGGTGCAAAAGGTTCAGCTTGGAAGCTTTCAGTGTTAGCGCTAATGCACTGTTAAAATAATAATGCAGCACAGGAGATATTTTTAATATTTATATATACTGTATTTTTCAAACCATTTATTTAAAACATGATGGTTTCTTAAGAAGAAGAGAAGTGTGGACTGAATCTTAAATAGGATTTTTTGATTGGTGCCAAACAATCAGTGCAGGGGGTGGAGCGGACAAATGCTTTGTCTGAATGATCCCTCAAAGCAGTAATGGCAAATGTGATTTGGAACAAAATGTGTTAGGAGCCTTGTGGTGCAGTGGTTAAACTGCTATATTGTAACCAAAACTCTGCTCATGACCCCGATTCAACCCCAGGTAGCTGGCTTGAGGTTGTTGACTCAGCCTTCCATCCTTCTGAGGTCAATAAGTTGGGTACCCAGCTTGCTGGGGTGGCAGCAATGTGTAGCCTGCATAATTAAATTGTAAATCACCCACAGAATGCTTTAAGTGCTGTGGGGGTGTTATATAAGCAGCACAATTTGCTGTGTGTGTGTAAAGAACTCCTTTTAAGTAGCTTTGAAAACTTTCAGGATTCTTTGGCCCATCATTCCTCCCCTTTTCCCATTCCCATCTCAACAGTCTGCCAGCCAACCAGAACTCAAGCCTTAGCCAATTATATATGGGTCTGCCCTTTGATGGCTTCTCCTTCATGCACTTTTTGTTTTAAGTTTCTTCAAACCTTAGGGTTCCCTTAACCTGCTGACACTGCTCTCCTCTGTGTGGGTGCTGCCATTCTAACAACATAAGGATCCATATTGGGAGACTGGTATCCTTGCTGAGAATAGGGTTAGTTTTAGCAATGTTCCCAGTGGCTTTTATCTAACGCAGACTCTTTCTGATATCACAGACACAGATATTTTCAAGGTGGTATCTATCTTAATCTCCTTCAGCATGGCATCTGTCACATCCCATTTTGCTTAGTCTCCACCCACCCAGTTTTTTCCACTGCATATGCAAACCTGTGGCCTGAA